ACCCTACTTTTTAATCTTGTTTGACTTTGAAGCATAAATTCAGTTTTGGCCAAAGATAATTGACCTTTTATTCACAGTCATCAACCATCCTGAAAGAAACCTGCTCCAATAGTTGTTCACAGTTTCAGCTCAGTGGCTAAAAGTGTTACATTAACATACACTTATAAATGTGCAAGTGTGTGTTCACTATATGTGTGTGTTCACTGTGTGTGTGTGTTCACTGTATGTGTGTGTTCACTATATGTGTGTGTTCACTGTATGTGTGTGTTCACTGTATGTGTGTGTGTTCACTGTATGTATATACCCCGTGTCCAGAGCAGATACTCTTGTCAGTCGTCCCGGGGCACGTGCTGAAGTTGAACTGTTGGATTGGGAGACATTTGTGATTGAAACAGATGCTGTCCGTCCCGCAGGCCGTCCCATCCTCGACATATCCCAGATCAGTGTCTCCATCAATCAGCACGTGAGCACCGCTGAGCAACAAACATGAACTCAGTCACTTACACAGCATTTTATGTGGTAAAGATAAAGTTCAGGTAAGGTAACAGTGAGTTGCATGGTCACTGTCATCTGTTGTGAAGAGTGCACTCCAAAGGTCATTCTGTTGGGGTGTCACAATGTCTCTCGACGAGTTTCATCAACGTCCTCAAAAAGCAATTTACTCTGCGCCTCAGAATGATGTTACGTTATGAATAATTCAGATTATTATTAGTGAGGAAATTACTCTTGGTGAGTTTGGAAAGATCGATGCCTTTGCTTCTTGACCCTGATGATGTTTTAGACAACTGTCAGACTTAAACGTACAATCCTTCGTCATACGTTGTTTACCCCGGAAGTTGCAGCAGAGATGGGCAAACCCACGGGTAAAGCACGTATGATGCAATGAAAAGGCGACTACACAATGAAACATCCCATTACCTTGAATGACATTGGGGATTTCTCTGGGTTTAAACATTTTGGATAATGTAATTACACAAGTCAACAAAATGTATATCAATGACGTGCACCTGCAGTCAAGAGACGCGCTGTGTCGGGCCACGGAGAACGAGGTCAGCCCCCCTTGCAGCTCTCCGAGTCGTGGTGACGGTGAGATGTTGGAGCACAGCAGGTAGCCACAATGAACATCCCTGAAACACAAAGGTGCAACCACAGATCATTTGGAGAAAATAACCCAGAGCTCAGGGGTTACATTCATAGGGAGGACCGACTTACTGCTTGTTACACTGGATCCACGTGTCTTTGTCTTTCCCACAGTTGCCTTTCTCCGTCCCCTCGATGTTGAGCTTCTCGTAGCAGAACTTGTCGGCCGCTGTTGCCTCTGAGGATACAGAACACCACACAGTCAGCATTAAGATAAACAGTGCAGGAAGTTTGTCTCTGTCTGAAATCTTCATATAGAAATATTACTCACTCTCTCCCCAGATGTACTTGCACTGTCTGTCTTTTGTTTTGCACCTTCCATTGAAGCAGCGACCCTGTAGAGGAGAACATAGTTTAAAAATACGTCACCTGTGCAGAAGTATGAGCTGTTTTTATAAAATGTTAAATACAGAGAGGCCCAGTGAGCACTGTCAAACATCTCACCTGATCCTTCTCACACGTGTAGCCGTCCATCTTGTGCACATTTGGTGGACACTGGAATAAATCAAGGAAAACCTCAGATACATTGTGATGTACAGTAGGAACCACACATATCGTGGGACAGTCCAAATATAAAGTTGAGCGTAAACTGTGCGAGGGACACTCACCTGGCTGGAGTTTCCTGTGCAGTTTTCTGGGATGTCACAGTCATTCACTGCATCTCGACACACGACTCCCATGAACTCCATCTGCAGCAGCATACAATAAAGAATACACAAACTCTGAGAATCTTTGTAACATGTAAAAACTCACGGGTTCGCCCAGGATTTACTCAGGTGAATTAGTGAGAAGTTCATCTGTGGGAGCTCATCAGTGTATTTTCTCTTTCGCGTCTTCTTAGATTGTTGAATTGTGCGGTTTTGTGTCAGTGTATGGTTATTATGTACTTATAAACAGAACATAAATGGAAGTAATTCCTCCTGCTTGGCATCATGGGTAATCACCACCTCTACAACACCCAGCAGAAGATGGAAGGTGAAGCACTGCCCTGTACCTGGCAGTTGTTGCAGCAGAGTCCGTTACTACACTTCGAGCCTTGAGTCAAAGTGCACTTCTGACAGCAGTTATCCCCCTCTCTGGCACACTCCTAGAAGACAAACACAACATATTAATCTATATTATATTATATAACATATTATACATGGAATTATGATTCATATAACAGTTTACTTTGGAAAGTTCTTTCCAAAACACATGGATATAAAGCAACACAGAAGAAAACAAGACAAAACTAAAATAAGGAAGATAATACAACAGAAAATATTACAAACGAACAAAAATCTGTTCAAACCAGTTAAAACCAGGCAAAATATGTTTAAGGTTAAGGTGAAGGAGTTCAGAGCCTTGGGATGCTGATGGAAAAAGCCCGGTCTCACTTAGGGAACTACTAGGAATCGTTAGTTGAAAGATTTTAGGTTATGTAACCCATTAAAACAAAGTCTCTTTAGACAAACTCTATAATCATACAATAACTTCACGTAGCTCTTTGATTCCTCCCGTGAAATGACCTCATTAGTTCAAACAGACCTCCTCTCACAGAAAGTCTGACACAGTCGGTGGTTCTGTCGTTGGGAAATCAGCCCATCACTAAACCCTTTACAACACCTCTCCCTGTTTGCATTCATCCAGTCCCGTGTACAGAGCTGTCACTCACCGCTGGACTGCCGCAGTCACACTCCTCTCCCGGCTCCACAAAGCCGTTACCACAGATTGGAGGGTCCAACAGCTGAGGGGGGAAGGGCAGAATTAACATTGAAAGTTCTGAGAAAACCCCTTTAATTACATGCTTATATATACATGTGGGTGTGTGTGTGTGTGTGTGAGTGAGTGAGTGAGTGAGTGAGTGACATGCCTTCAGAGGTTTGTTGAACAGACAAGATCCTCCTCCGCTATTCAGGAAGTTGTGGTACTCCTCCACGTTGCAGTCGGAGAACCTCTTAGGCAGGTAGAAGCTGTTCAACACAACCATATGATGTGGTTACTGTAGCTGCAGAACAGACAGACCCTCAGAGGGGAAACAGATAAGAGTGAGAGGGCTCACTCACAAAAACACAACAGGACAAAAAAACAAGACGTTTCAATCCTCACATTTAATTTCAGTGAAATACCACAGCAGATTTGTCATATTTAATAAAGTTTGTATTTCTTACTATGTCATGTTTTATGACAGATACTCACAGTTCAGGAGATCCTTACAATAACATGGAAGCGGATATACAGTATAGCTAACACGGCCAAAACACAGATGGATATGTGAAGAGTAGATGGATCTAAAATGAATTTGTGAATGTGTCCTGGAAATGAACCTGGATATTGTGAATGATTCACTTTTCAACTGTTATTGCATCATCATTTCATATAGAAATTCTGTGTCATTTCAACATCTGAAGTATTTGTCAGAATCTATAACAATCAAAAGTGCAGTGCTCACTCTGATGTCTTAAAACGATATCGACCCGAACCTGAGCAGCACTTAAGCATTATCATCCTCTGCTGCTCTGTCAGGCTGTTGATGATCACGCTGCAGGCTCGTGTCAGGAGTAGCTCTGACAGTAATCAGGACTGATTCAGGAAACAATGCAATAACAGAGAGGCTCGGGGCTGTGAGAGGTCGGAGCTACTTGATATGTGATGTGACTAAACTACGGAGATGATTGGTTCCATAAGAACGCAGAAATGATGCTTTGATGGTTGATGAAGAACACTACAATATCTGAGAGAGATTTCCAGAACTAATCTGGTTTAAAGTTGGTGTGTGGGATCGGTGTCTTTGATTTCAAATTTGTGTCAGGGTTGAATCTTGTCAAAAATCTTGTAGTGTTCATCTCTTTTTAAACAGTAAGAAGAGGTGAGACAAAGATGAAGCGTGCTTGAAGGATTCACTGGGCACCAAAATAAGTACGATCATTATCGGACTAATGTTACTACTCAGCCATGAGAAAGACTTTTCATTTCACAGTACTAAGACCATGGGATCAAAATATGTATTCCAAAAGATAACAATACAGACACTACGGTTAATATTCGTAGAAAGTGCTTATATTGACTTATTAAAGCACGTGGACACATTCTGCACATTCTGCAGGAAGTTCAATAGCATCTTAAACATCTTAAACCTCCTTCAAGTTATGAAACCAGATATAAATTCAGTAGATCCAGATTTTTATTTGAATCTTCACCAAACTGAACTCACTCATAATTATCAGTCCCCTAAACATGATAGTTTTAATCAAGATCCATGAATTATTCTCTGAGAAATCCATCGAAATGTTGAAAAATGCCCAAACAATCCTAGATACATTCCCTTACTCTGATGTATACCACAATTTATTGGATTCTTTCTTGGGTCATGACCCATCCCTCCACAAAATTTGGTGGAAATCAGTTGTATAGTCTTAGTGTTATTCTACAAACTAACAGAAACAGGAAAACCAACTACTTGGCGGAGGGAATAGTATTTTTCCTCCTTCCCCTACAATCAGCCTGTGACACAGTGGTCACTAGAAGACATGGCAGAGTTGATACTCACAAAGACACTGCAATACTGCTGATTCATATCCACATCTCTGTGTCCTTTGTCAGTTTTCTTTAGTCTTATAATGTTGCCAATGAAAAACATATTTTGTCCTGGGTCTTTCATGGAAAGAAAATAAATGTAAAGGAAGCAATAGAAAATATATAAAAACAATTGAAAATCCTAACTCGACCATAATGTTCAGACAGTAAATTGAGTCTATTTGCTCTAAGGACTGTGCCCTCTGCTGAGATTTTATTAGGTTTAGTTAGGATTTACGATGCCTGTGACAAGCTGCCACACACACTGCACAGGAATACACACACATATATATGAACACACACACGCACTCGCCAGACCCACACACAAACACACACATTAAAGCTAAATCCTGTGAAAAAATATAAAATAGTTAGTAGTAGTCAGGTTAAGTCGATCACACATGCAGGTGCTGAGGGATAAAAAGAAATTTCCGTCAATGGACATGACTGAGGTCGCTCATTGAATACAAGTGTCTGAAATACCATTGACTTTGTTTTAGAGAATACAGATCTAGGCCAGATCCATTCACAGAGGACAGCGCAGAGTGATCTGTCCTCTGTCATGTGACCTTGTGATCTCATAGTCGGTTTATTATTGCAGCCCAATAGAGCAGGATCTGGACTGGGAGTGTCTGGGTGTGTACAGTTGTTAAAGGGAAATGAGGGAGACAAATATTGGCCTAAGGTGAGAATGACATTGCAGACTGTTTCAATCGGTTAGACATGGACAAAAAGAATTGATGAAAAGTTCTGACTTTCAAAGGTCAGGAGGGAGAAAGAGCTTATCAATAATCAGAGTAACCAAATTAATAAAACTCTCTAGGTTGATCAGCCGGCGACATCGGCCACAAACTGAAGAATTCACATACAAGTACATGTGAAATTGTATAAATATGATATTGAAAAATACAGCCAGTGCATAACAAAGAGACATCAAACTGTATTTGTTCATATCATTTGAATCAAAAGAGAAGCCGGGGGCCACAGGGGCCGTAGTGCTCCCAGATGAAATGGGAAAGGTTGTGATGACTGACAACCCCTCCGAGGCAGCCAGTTGGTTCAGAACAGCACAGGCAACGTTCTAGTCAAGCTTCTGCTCACCTGCTGTCCCATTCGGGATAGAGGGGGAATGTGAGAAGGATTTAAGAAGAGGGGTATACACACACACAGCACAGTGATTCGTTCACACAACACACCCAGTCACATACTTATGCTCACAGTGAGCAAGCAAGCTTCATCACACTGAACATATACTGACATGATTTCTGTATGAAACTGAAAACATACACACAGCCTGGCACCTAGTGGTTAGTTACAATACTACAATAACACTACACTGGGTGGAAATATTCTAGTCAACATGTTTATACTGATATTCTGAATGTGTGATATTAGAATAAAAGTAAGACTAATATTCAATTCAGATGATGTTGTGATTGAAGTTTGTTTGGAGAACTCTGACTCTGATGAAAAAAGTAATGCCTGCACAATGAATCCACACCACAAATCAATTTCAAGTCATTTTAACAGACAGCATTTTTCATGAATATATTTTGGGAAACTTTGCTGAAAAACACTGGACATTGGGCGTCCAACATCTGTGAAAGATGTGTCTTTAAGAATTATTTATCAGATTAAATTAACTTACCCAACGTCATCCATGATACAGCCTGACCAGCGATCATCACACTTGCATTCACCTAAAAAAACAACACATTGATCGATTTATTGCACAGAAAAGAGGCTTGAAAATGAGTTTGCATGCATTCGGGTTTAACTTTGTACCGTTGAGGATCCTCTTCTTGTCTGAGAAGATGCCAATGTTCTGTCCAAGAGACTGAGCGAGGGTTATGGCCATCTCATCGGTTTTCCCGTACTGTTGAAGAGAGAGAGACAGACAGAGACGGAGAATGAAAAGTTTATTAGATCAGTCTGAGGAGAACGAAAGAGCTTACAGAGGCAATTCCTTTTAAGGTAAACACTATCAGTACTTGCACTGATACATGAAGAAGAATACAATTATTTTACAGTGTGTAATGTACAGTATGTTATTACTCTATTTGTATTGGACAACTCAGAATGATTATTGTTGCTTATGCTAAAAGGTTATGGGGAATTTTCACTAACTCACCTCATTCACTCCGCCTCCTTTAGTGAGAGAGCAAACTCCTCCCATGTAGGAAGCTCCACCCCAGCTGCTATGAAAGCGATTCCCTCTGATGAAACCAGAAAATGTTTTAGTTCCATGAGAAAAGATGATGAGCACCGAATTGGACGAGAAAATCCTCTCAGATGTTCGGACTCACGAGAAGAGGTGAACGGAGTCGCATTTCTCCTTGATGAAGTCCTTCCTGTACTTCATGAACTCCCTCAGGGTCACCATGGGGTCGTCGTCGATGTTGAACTTGTTGTCCGCTGACCAGGTTTCCATGGCAACCAGCACAATCCGAGTATTAAGCTGTTCCTTGAAGATCTGGGGGGGGGGGATTTGAAGGAAATTTTATGTTTTTATTATCTTTTTAAAAAGTCTCAAGAAAGAAGAAACAAATGGTACAACTTGATCTGTATTAACACTGACAGGCACTGTTCAAAGTCAGCATCATCTTCAGCTGCTCATTATGACAGCACCAGTCAGAGTGATTAGTACGATCCAGCCACCAGACAGCAGCACATTACAGGCGGCTAGACGGAGTCAACAAGTGAAACTGTCTGAAGGACAAAGCAATGTTTGCTTTCATGAGATGGAAATCTACTAGGGTCCTGAGATACAGAAACACTGGAGGAGAGGACACGAGCAGGGCCTCTTCACTGAGTAACGACAATCTCTCGACTAACCTGACAGAGCAGAGAGAGAGCAATCAGTGATATGTGACACTATCTGTTTCTATTTGTGCATGCATGTGGTCGGATCTCCATCTTAAGAGCTGCGTTCTGCAAATAAAAACCCTCAGACAGTGAGTCTGCACCAGGACTCGCTCTGTACTGCACTTCTGTAAACATTGCGTTGTCACATAAACCTACGACTACATTTTCCTGACGCTGATTTTTATGATGGGATTCATCTCACCGGTGTGGTCACGGTCACATCTTTCTAGTCCAGTTGCTGTTTCCAAAATACAGTAACTGTGATGACTGACCCCCAAAGTCCATGCAGTTATCAAACACTCCCTTCAAATGTCTATTTTATGAGATGTCCTGAGTGTCACAACTTCAACGTCCCCGATTTGATTACAGCTGGGAGCCTTTGCTGCACATCACATCGCTCTCTGCCCTTGTTTCCTGCCTGCATCTACAATATCTGATAAACAATGATGGGGAGGGTGTCCAAATAATGATTATTACAGTAGAATAAAATTAGAAAGGTAAAACCTGAATGTCATATATATGTATATATATATACACATATATATAAAACTTTATCAACTTTTCTGTCGATTTTGCATTTGCTCTGCCGTTTAGAATATGTGATGTGAATATGGCCTCTGTGCTGTAGTAGTGTGGCACACACTGGGCAGAAAGACAACTCTATTTGTACATGGAAATCAATGTGTAATTCCCAAATAGAGTCTGCTTCATATGATCGTCTTCAAGGACACAACAAAAAAAACGTGACCTTCCTCCAGCTTCACCGGCCTATCAGCTTACAGACATGACCCTGCAGCAGGTCAGATTTCTGTAATACAGCACACAGATGTGGCCACAAATAATCAAAACATTGAAATATCTGCCTCGGTACTGTCGGAATGTGCCGCCGCTTCAATCCTCTGAAACATGGAAACTCATCACTGGCCAAAAGGTTTTAAATGGAGCGAGTGAGGTTGGTTAAATGAGAAATCAGTGCAGTGTGTGCTTGGCTTCAATACATGGTGGGAGTGCTTGTGGCAAGCTTTCCAAGAAGAGGATCAATACAATTCTTACCATGTCAGCCATATTGACCACTGACTTAGCATAGTTATTTGTGTGCCCAACGGAAAGCCGATGCTTCTTATACTGTAGGGAGACAGAGAGAGGCACAGAGGGATGGAGAGGAAACGATTAAAAGCAGGATCCATAATCTGGAACAAATTCATTTTAAGCCATTTAAATGTATGAAAGAAGCGTTTAATTCACTCCAAATATCAATGACAATGAGTATAAAGCAAAAATCAGTCCCAGCGGATCTTCGTTAGGCACATTTAGATCAAAACATTTTCTGTTTCATGCACAACACAGGTAGGTTTATATTTGACTGAATCAGGAGTGCACGCACTTTTTAAGGGATTTTTATAATGAAATAATAACTTTGATAATTTTATAGTGATTTGCGGGTAATTTGCAGACACAATATTTTCTATCATAACTGCACATTCATACCATAAGTAGTTAAATACTTACCATTAAATGGTCATTGATGACCATCAACTCAATGTATTTGATCTCATCCTCTACACTGTGTGACACATGTGGAGCCTGAGAAGAAACAAGACATCACCTCTCTTAGTTTCCTCAAAGCAAGACTGTGCACATCAAAGAGGAATTTAGGAGAGAGCGAGAGAGAGCGCGTGCACACACAGTAAACACAGAGATCAACTCATGTCTCCTGCTTCACCAAGAAAATAGGAGGGGGGGGGAATCAATAAGGGCAATGCATGTGTTTGTTCTCCAAATAAAGACGAGAGTGGCTCCGAGGACTGAAGAGACAGACAGCTGCAGACATCGGACAGTGTAACTCATAAGGTGAATATGTCATGAAAACCAAGGGGGGGAAGAAAAGAAGAGACAGAGATGGAAAGCTGAAGTGTGGGAGGAGAGAGAGGAAACACTGCTCTATAACTTTGTGGATTAACATAAAACATTCAGGCAGGAAACAGCTTAATCACTTTTGGACAAAAGGCGCAAAACTCTCTGTACAATTATAGAAACACACATGCTCATGTGCACAACACAAACAACATGAGAGCATCAGCAGCCATGTGCTAATGATGAACATTTTACAACTAATCTAGTCATACCTGTCTCTTTTTTCTCCTGTGAACTACTTTAGACCCGGGGAATGGAGGGCTGGGGAACGGCGGCTCCGGCAGGTCACCTAGGAAACAGGAACATTTATAGCTATCAGCATTCAAGGAACAGTTTCCAGTGATGCAATGAATAAATGTACAGTACATCGCAAAACACCATCTTACCATTGAGCAGGTCTTCCCCTGCAGATTTATAAATCATGTGAATGGGGACCTCGCCCTGGAAAACACAAAAAAAGAGGATGTCAATCAAGTTTGTCAGTGAAACAGGTCAAGACCAAGTGTCGGATAGACAGGCTTTTATTAACTATTCCCAGTATCTCAGTATTGAGGTCAAAGAGTTCAAGCCCTCCAAAAAGATGGGCAGAGGTCAGTATCTCCCACCACCACAAACTTCATACAACAGAATATTTGATTAATAATAATAATTAATAATACAACAACACAAGTCTGGAAAGTAGTGTACTATATAGTGTACTGCAGAGATGCGGAATAGATACACTGTATGTTCATGCAGCTTATTTATTTAAGATAGAGCCACATTGGTCTAATTTGTATTAACCTTAATGTTAATGTTGGACAGACTGTGCATGAACACACACACACACACAAACACACAATCAAAGCTGTATTTCTATTTGTCACACTCAGAGCAAAGGAAACGATAAGGACTGAAACACAATATCTGATGACTGCCACAAAAACAAACGTAAGAGAGTGTTTGGATTAAATGTTTACCTCTGCATCCTTACAAAAATACTTTGTTGCTACTATACCTGTTTTACAGTTTACTGCACTATTTCAACCCACTTGTATTTATTCTTTTACTGTTTTATATTACTCTAATTTGCTCTGTATCTATTTCTAGTATCTATATGAGCTGCATCTATCTCTGCATAAAGGAAGACAGTAATGAGGGTTAACCTGTGAGACGGCGCTGAGGGCTTAAACGCTCCTTTTATTCTGAAGCCACTTCCTGTTTACCCTCGCACTGTACCGGAGTAAAAACTTCTCTGCCGTCTGTAGCAGCGTTAAAAGAGAAATCAGCCGAAATGCCACCATCTTCCATCTAAACACGATCTACCTGCTGGGAACACACGGTACTGGAGCCTCCATTTGTTGTAGTTACCGTGTTTTAGCTTCATATCTACACAGTGATCCGGACGCAACAGGTTGCTGTAATGCTAACTTTGTCTGCTTGGCTCTGAGCTAGCTGGCTAACGTAACGAGCTAGTCAGTGTATAATTGTTGTTGATGACCCAGTTGTTCATCGGTGGCAGATTCAGATGAAACGTTCCAGCGAATATAATTGTTACTATACATCGCTGTTGACTGAAGTATGGACGATGAGCTAGTTAATGTGCTAACCTGATGAAGCTGGTGTAACCACTCAGATCGTTAGCTTAGCTGTCTAGGCTAATCAAGAGGGTATTGAGTGTTATAACAGTTGGGTAAATACTAGTTACCACTCAGTGACGGTGCAGCGTTTAACACAGTATTTGTTTGTTTGTGTGTAAATCAAGATAAAGATCAACTTATTAAATACAATCTGGAATCGAAAACACAGATAATAACATATATAGTTGATTGGACAATTCACAAGTAAGTTTAGATAAGTATACATAAGTAAATGTATTTATATTTGGATGATCTTTTAAAACATTTTCGTTTAACAAAACAGTCTTATTGAGATTCAAGTCAAATAAATACATAAATACAAATCAACAACACTGCAAGGGAGTTAACGATAAAAGCAATACAACAAAAAGTTTATTAAATCAGTTATAGGAATCATGTAAAATATCTGATTTAATGTTAATACCTTACTTCTGAACCAGATATATGGCATCAAATATTTTGAAGAGCCATTTCTAAGACTGGCAGATTCATTTATTCCGCAGGTAATACGTTGAAAGTAAATCAACTCCAAACGTATTTAGAAATGATCTTGTAATACCATGTTCAAGTCACGGCTGCGAGCATTCTGTCATCTATATAAAACTCAAGTGTGTAACACAATTGTTAATTGTGTAGCTGTACAGTCTATGCAATGCACTGCAGTACACACACTCCTGCTCTGCGACCTCAGCCGTCAAGTCATCCCCACTGTGTTTGCTAATGAAATGAGAGCATTGTTTCTCTGGGACAGCAGATATTGGGTCAACTACACTGTGGTGAATACAGGGGGGTTGCCCACAGCTAGGTCAGTCTGTGGCACAGTTAGCTTACTTCAGCAGTAATGGGGCCATTCAATAAACTTGTTTAATGTTTGTTTTTTTCCATTATCAGGAGTATGTATACAGTAAAAAATGCTAAAAACTACATTAAGACCATGTTGATTCCCACTGTACTGATCAGCCACTTCTTTCCGTCTGACTTCCTCCATTCAAACAGGAATTCTCCTCGTGGCCTCAGTTCCAGTCAGCCCCAACAACCATGTCGTGCCGGGACATCCATGCCACCAACGCTTTTTCCTTCATCATTGCCTTTGTGTCAGTGGCAGGGCTTACTGTGGCTGCTGTAATCCCACAGTGGCGAGTTACGAGACTCGTCACCTTCAATCGCAACGCTAAGAATATCAGTGTGTATGATGGGCTGTGGGCTAAATGTGTGAAACAGGATGGCTATTCAGGATGCTACTACTATGATTCAGAGGTATTGCTTTTAGCTCTGTTTCGGCTTTTTTTTCCTTTTATGTTTTGAAGTTGTCCTAACAGAAGTCATGTTTTCTCATATTTCCAGTGGTACTCTAAAGTGGACCAACTCGATCTGCGGCTCCTGCAGTTCTGTCTGCCTGCAGGCCTGCTGTTGGGCTCGCTCGCCTTGCTGCTGTGCATGGCTGGGATGTGTAAGACCTGCTGCTGCTCAGACAAGCCTGAGCCGGACATTAAAACTCTCAAATTCCTGGTGAACAGTGCAGGCTGTCACCTGGTGGCTGGGACGTTCTTGTTCCTGGGTGGAGCTATCGCCATCACCCCCTCAGTGTGGTTCCTGTTCCGCACTAAGGCGCTGAACATCAGATATGACAACATGTTCTCTGATGGGTTTGCTGTATATGTAGCAATCGGCTGCTCTGGAGGACTAATGCTGGCCGCGCTGCTAATGTTCATGTGGTATTGTATGTGTAAGAAGTTGCCTTCACCCTTCTGGTTGCCACTTCCATCCATGTCGACCTCTCTGTCCACTCAGCCTCTCACTGCTAACGGATATCCTCCCTCCCCAGTGTATGGTCCTCAGCCCTTCCCACCACAGGCCCATCCTCCCACAGTCATCGACACCCAGCAGTATGTGCCAACCCACGGCTATGCACAAAGTGTGGTTGCCCCTGTACCTACACAAGTGTACATGTCTCAGATTTCTGCTCCAGATGGGTACGGATCAGAGGTTGGAGGAACCCAGGCCTACAGCTATGCTCCCTCACAGAGCTACGCTCCCTCACAGAGCTACGCACCCTCACAGAGCTATGCACCTTCCCAAAGCTATGCTCCTTCTCAGGGCTATGGATCCAGCTACGTAGGCCACCGCTACTCCAGCCGCTCACGCATGTCTGCCATAGAAATCGACATTCCTGTGCTGACACAAGGAGAATAGAAAGAAAATAGAAAAACTTGAAGCCTGTAGTCTTTTAAACTCATTTAGATTCACCACTGATGAAACTAACACAGTTTGATGGATGGAAGTTATTAACATGAGAGCTTATTGATAACCTCTAGATTCAGTCAGTTCAATCCAGGTTTGCAGATTGATGTTTATGGAAGATGAGAAAGACACCCGGAGGAACAATATGAAGGATGATATTTTCGTTAAAATATATAAACGCTAAAGCACTGGTGTAAACAACACTGTATTCAGCTTATTTATGTAGAAAGGGAAGAAATGTAAGTTTCGCTTGGAGCCATAATCACTGAAAGACACCTCAACTAACTTTTCTTCATTATTTAACCAGAGTACGATCATCACGTCCATTTGGTTGGTGGCTTTTTATAAATTTACACTCTGACTAAACATGAATGAGGCCTCTCTTTTTCTGTTACACTTTTATTGTTTAACTCATCATGTTCATGTAACAGTGATGTGTCCTGGTGTCCACTTTATGGAGGTCTTCTGTTCATCACTACTGAACAAACACTTACTGACCTTATACTCAGTTTTTAAATAGGCACCTACTAACTCACTCGCTTGTTGAGTCAATTTTAACATGAATCTTTAAGAAGGTCACACTGTCCTGCAAAGAGCAGCTGTCAAAGGTTTGAATGCACTAATGATGTGAATACTGTGCCAGTTTACATTGCCTTTATAGTTGTATTGCCTCTAAATAACTATTTATCCATTATTGCAGCATGTATGTTTTCCTGCACGTTTATGTGAAAAAGATCATCGCACTAAATCTGTAAGTTGTGTTCATTGTAATGAACAGATGCAGATTTTGATCTCAGTGTAGGGGTGCATTTTTATTACTCTAATAACTCTAACTCTAATGTCAGAAACAGAAATGACAGGAAGGATAATACTGTTCATTTACTTAACAGGGCATATTATGATTAACTATAAAAAGCAGTTAGTGAGAAGTGTTAATTTGTTCAATTAGTACCATTAAACATCTGCCAACTTAGCTGGAAGTGTGATGTTCAGGCTGGTCGTAGTTGTGATTAATCCCAATTTAACAGTCAAATCAGTTGTTGCCTTTTGTGTGTTTTGCTTAATGAGCACTGATCAACATTTCTTTAAAGTATAATATTAACCTGTAATGTTTAGGTTCATGATATTTTCAAATGTTTTTTCTATACTGTCAATGTTCTGTTTTTATTAAAACAAATCTCAATACATCTGCATGTCTGTTTATGTGCTGCTGAGGTAAACCAATTTAAATACTCAATATTTGTAATTGCATTAAAATATAGAGACACAAATCTGTCTCATTTGTAAAGTAATCGTGTGAGTCATTTGTCTCTGTCTTGGCAAAAAGCTAAGAGGTGAAACTGGGCATCACTTCAGCCAAACTGAATTACAAATGTGAGGACGTTGATGCTTTCAGCCGGGTTCAGTCTCCTCATATGAACTGATAAATAGTTTGAGAAAGTTTGAGACGCCCTGTGAGGTTCTGGTTTCCCAGAAATGCTATAGATCCTCCTCAGACCACTTTATGATGACTTGAATCACTGATGGAATTTTAAGTTGCTGTTTCATCACCAAAGATACAGAGGCTACAGTTACACAACCATTGCATGTGTGTTCAGGTGACTTGGAGTAAAATATTCATAGATTCAAGATTCATGAGGATCTTATGATGTCATAGCTGCTAATCTACTCCCTGTGCATCCAGCCAACTGTTTTATTACTATGAACTAAACATCACATTATTATAAACCCAGATATTCTGAATACTCCCTCCTCATCTCCATTCGCTACACTACACTGACACAAATGTCGTATCTTCATACTAAAGAAATAAAGCTACCAAAAGTCTACAGCAAAACAAAACTGATTATGGTGTGCAGCTCTGTGCATTTTATGTTTTTTCTTACTTACTTTTGCTTTTTAACCTATGTTGAG